GTGCTGGGGGTGTCCCTGCGCTCCCACCCAGCCCCCGTGGCAGTTTGCAGCCAGGCTTTGCTGCGTGCTGTGAGCAGGGGGAGCATCTGCAAAACCCTGGGGCAAGGAGGCACGGTAAGACCCTGCCAGTCACCCCAAAGGCTCGCCGGGTGCTCCCTGCCCTCCTGGGACAGGAGCCAAGGTGCCCCCACGAAAGGCAGTGCTGGGCCAGTCGTGGTGAGATGGAGGCCACTTGCATCCCTGCATCCTTCCAGATCTACCATCAGGGCAAGCCCAGGACTGCAAGTAGGGGGGTTTAATTGGAAAAAGGGGAAAGATGCAGATGAAATGTCAGGAGCTACATGGAAAAACAAACGCGGGAAGGAGAGCAGCACTGTCACCGCAGCAGAGTGACCTTCACCCCTCCCACTTACTGCGCATCCAGCTGGCCCCCAGCCCAAGGTGACAGCGAGCGCTCGCAGGGCCGCCCGAGCCCAAAACAAAGCCGATAAGGGCTCGGCCTGGGCTGGCTGCATGCATGCGCTGCTGGGGATGAGTTGGGTCGGATTCGGCTGCACCCCATGCTGCTGCACCTCCCCAGGGACCAGCGCCGCTGCCATCGTAGCACGCCGGCGCGGAGACGCATCCTGCCGCAAGGATGTACCAGCGAAGGTGGGAGACTGCCCGGGTCAGGGCAGAGAGAACTTCCAATGCTGTTTGGAGGATCCTCATGCACCAACCCCACTCTCCCAGGAGGGCTTGAGTCCAAACTAGGAGCACCCACGTGAGCCATGACCACGGTGTAAAGTGCCTTTGTGTGGAGGGGAGCAGCCCCGTGGGGTGAAGGGGAGCTTGGCTCGCGGGATCGGCAAACACCGCCGGATCCCCACCCGCAGCCACAACAGGGACCCGGGCAGTGGGGCAGAGGGTGGATGCCTTCCCCCCCTTCCCCAACACCCCACGCCAGGAATTTCTCGTCTCAGCAGAAATCCCTGGGGTTGTTTGCGCTCCATATCGAGAGATAGGGCTGGAAAATCCACTCCCCTCACCCTGGGTGTCTGGGACTGCCAGGCGGGCACCGTCCCCCTCCCCGGGAGGCCCCTGTGGTCCCAACAGGACAAAGAAAAGCAGCCTGGGGACAGGGACCTGTGGAGGGGACAGAGCAGCCACAGGCTGGGGGCATTGGGGTCTGCGAAGGGGGCAGAGCCGCGTGGGCAGCAATCGAATCTCTCCTGCAGAAGCAAACCAGTATTTTTCCAGGGCCTTTATTGGCAAGCCCACAGCTGGGTCCCCATCCAGCCCCTTGTCCAGCACCCCATGGCCCTGTCGCACCATGTCCCCAGCTTCCTCCTGCCTGTGTCACGCCAAAGGGGCTGAGCCAGGGATGGGTGCCGAGAGCTCTCCCCGCAGAGCCGAGGCGGCTCAGGCCAGGATGGGGTAGGTGGCTTCAGTGGCCACGCCGCAGTTGTTGTCCTTCATGGCCATGAGGATGTAGCCATCGTTGCCCCAGTACGTGGACCAGGAGTTCTTGATGAGCCAGTAGGTCTCTCCCTGCAAGACCCCGTAGCCCACAGCCAGCACCGCGTGGTCCAGCGCTCCTGGCTTGTTCGCTGCAGGGGATGACACAGGAGACAGCTCGTCCAGAGAGCATCCCTGCTCCCGGGGGCTGCCAGCAGCGCTGGGGAGGGCTGCAGGACCGGTTCCCTCTTCCACCCCTGCCCCAAGATGCTCAACAACGAGGAGGGGATGGATCCTGGGTGTCTTGGCATCTTCCTGGGCACCCAGGTCCTCCCGTGCACTGTGTGCCACCCAACTCACCGCACTTGGGCTCGTAGTAGATGCCGTTGGAGTAGAAGGAGAAGGTCCTGTGTGAGGCGTCAATGCTGACAGCCACGGGGCCGTGCTTGTAGATGGCAGCTTTGACCGCCGTGATGTTGCCCGAGGTGACGTTGACATAGCCCGTGATCTTGGCCAGCATCTCAGACTGGTTGTAGTGGCACAAGCCGTTCTGCGGCGCCCGAGAGGGGATGGGACACTGTGTCATCAGGAGCCCCCGGGTCCCCTCCCTGGGACCCTGCCCACCCTGCTGCCCCTGTGCGGCTCTGCTCTGATGCAGGGCGTGATCCGGGACTCGGGCTGTGACAGCATCCCAGCTCTGACCCCTGTGTCCTCCCCTGCCCACCATAGCAGGGGTGTTTTCCTGGCTGCTGCAGGGACACAGCATCGCCTGCACACTGCCCGGGGAGCTGGCTCTGCACCCAAAGCCCTGGGGGGGCTGTTGTCTGCATCTTGCAGCCACATCCCTGTCCCAGACAGCCCTGCTCCATCCCTGCACCCCAGGGTACGGAGGGACCCATGGCACCACCCATGGGTGGAGGAGCCTTGTCCCTGTTTTGCAAGAAGAGAAACCGAGGCACGCGGTGATGAAACCGCCCAGCTGAGCCCCGGCACTTGGCTTTGGACTGTGCTTTGAACAGCAGGGAGCCCGGTGCCTTGGGGACAAGGTGACACCCCCATCTCCAGAGCCTATTAGCACCTCTGACCCATCTGGATCGGCCCCACCGTGGCTTTAAAACCCCTGAGGGCACATCCCAAGACCTCAGGGACCCCGGCAGGGACACGGGGCCACCCTCACCTGCCCCAGGTAGGTGCCATAGGATTCGGTGCTGGCGATGCCGCCGTGCTTCATGATCCACTCGTAGGCTCGCCACTCCTCGCCTCCATCGCAGGCGTAGTTCCCGAAGCCCCAGGAGCAGTCGATGAGGACTTGTTGGGACAGGGGGGTCAGCACGCCGGTCTGCGGTGAGGGACACGCTGCAGGGATGGGGACAGGCACCCTCCGGGCGCCCCGGCCATCCCCGTGGGGCACAGCCCCGCTCTCACCTTGAGGAAGAGGGCACCCTCCATCGCGCCCGTTGTGGCGAAGCTCCAGCAGGACCCGCAGACGGCCTGGTCCTTCACGGGGGTCACGGCGCCTGGGGACAGCGGCATGGGGGGTGAGAGGCTGGGGTGGCACCAGGGAATGAGGACAAGTGGAAGGGAAACTGAGGCAGGAGTTGAGGACTCGCTGTGCTCCCAGAGGCAGCGCAGCCAGAGCTTGGTGCTAATCAGGGAGGGGGGGGCAAATGCACCAGCAAACCTGTGGGACCCCTGCCCTTGGGTTGGTGCAGGCTCTGGGGGTGTCACTCCCAGCTGATGAGGACATGGGGACAGCCAGATGTGGCTTCAGATGTCACATCTGTCCCTGCGGCACCAGCCTGAATGAAAGCCAAGTGCCGACCGAGCTGCCTTTTACCAGGTAAGCCCTGCTTCGATCTTCCAGTTGCTGAGCGGAGCAGGGGCCAGAGGGAGATGTGGGTCCCAAGGGGCAGCGCAGCCCCCCAGGCTC